ACCGTTACGACACCAGACGTTCCGTCTGCCTCCGGTATCGTCCCTCAGGGGAAGCGGGGTCAGCGCCAGTGCCAGCCCCACCCACCCTGTGCTCTGTACCCCCCCGCACTGCTAACCAGTGCCGAGGACGAGTCTCCCACCGTGTCCCTGTCCCACGGCATGGCTCAGCTTGCGAGCGTTTGCTGAGAGCGGCAGGCTGTAGCAGACAGCAGGCAGCATGAGGCGTCGACAGTGCCATCCCATAATATTACGGGGGGGTCCTAACGAGGGTCATTCCCCTCATGATACGATCCCAGGACAGTATCTTTAACTTGCACAACGATGTTTAACTATGCGTATGCTTTTAATGGCTGTGTGTGTGCATGCGTGTGTGTGTGGTCCAGGTATATATTACACTGTGGGGACCAAAAGTCCCCACTACGTGATGAAAACCTGTTATTTTGACATTTCCCCACAAGGGGAAATTAAATTTAATAAAAATCTGTGACTGTAATAAAAAACTAAAAATGCCTCGTATCCAACAGCTTCAGGATTCACCTGCTCCCTTAAGAGTGGGATTTCTTCGCTTCAACAAGATTATCTGTACGGAACCGGATGTAAGCTGGACACAGACACCCATATATTTATGACACACTCCCCCCACCCCCCGAGAGCCTAAAGGTTGTGTACGTGGAAGGGGGGTATCTGCGCACTGCCCTCCTGGGCCCCCGGCAAGCCTGGATCTCCATGAAACGCCCAGGCTCTTCTGTCACGATCCCCAGCGAGTGCCAATCAGGCTCCGGTGTATGCGTGTGGCTTCCTGAACCACCTCGGCACCAAGGCGGGACGGGTTAGAAGCCCCCAACCATCCCCCTCAGCGCCACATCTTTGGATCTCACGGCCCAGGAGCGACGACATTTTTTTTAAAAAACAACATGAGATAGCGCGTCTCATCGCATCAGAGATGCACTACCCACAACCCCCCTTCCCACCACTCTGCCTGCAACAGACGGCTTGTTGTGCAGAAAACACTTACGGACCCAGGTGGGCGGGGTGTGGCTCGCCGATCTCCCCTGTAACGCGGGGGAAGAGCATGAGGACAAGGTGGAGGTGGGGGGGCTGTTTTTTTCAGAAGTATATGGGGGGGGACCAGTGGCAGCCCCTCTGATGCGGTGATGGATCTCGGCCAGAAGGTGGCGGCGCTGAGAGAGAAGTGACACGACTCCTGGAGGAAGCCAGCGGGAAACAGACGGGCCTCTAGTGTGGGAGGCACTGCAGACGCCTCCCGCCCCCGCCTCTGTCCTCCCCGCCGCCCCCCTGCCTGACATGCATGCTTACATGTTTACCTGCTTGATACCCCATTGCTATACCAGCGGCAAAGAGCCACAAGGGTTCCAAACCAATGACCTTTGTCTGAGACTCACATCAGCTGAGACCCTCATGAGATGTGAAACCATAACCTTCTGGTTCAGATTCAGCTGTAAGTGACCTCTGGCTCCCTTCTTATCATGTCTGTTTCTGCACAGAGGCTCGGTGACACTGAGAGTCGCAGTGATTCTCCGCCAGTTGTCACAGCCTCCGTAAGTGTCTCCATGCTTCTGTTTCTGCATATGGACGCTGAGTGTGTGTCTGTATTCCTGTCTGACTCCTGCTCGTGTTTTAAACAGGTTACACTCTCTGACTCTCTAAGGCCCTGCTCTCCATTTAACGTTTTGTCTGATATTTCTCAAGCACCTTCTTGCATACTTGTGTACATCAGTGCTTATAATCACTAAATTCACATCACGTTTTGTCATGATCGTGTTGCCTGGCAGAGAGGGAAATTCATCAGACTCTTGCAAGGTATGAAAAATTATTCCAATGACAAGGGATATCATCTTAAAATAAAAGTGCAATGACGCTTTATTGGCAACACCACATTGATACAAAAATGCAAAGACACCATGCATATTGACGTACACTGTACATATTCACAAAGGTGCAGTGACACCACATTGATACAAAAATGCAAAGACACCGTGCATATTGACGTACACTGTACATATTCACAAAGGTGCAGTGACACCACATTGATACAAAAATGTAGTGATACCACAGTAATACAGAAATGGAGTGACACCACTCCACTTCATCTCCGGCATGGTTAATGACAGAAATGTGGTGACCCCATGCACACTAACACAAAAGTACAGTGAAACCACATTGATTCAAAATGCAGTGACACCCTAGTAATATAAATATGCAGTGACACCACATTAAAACAGAAATGCAGTGACACCATCTAAGTGACACCAGATTAATTTTAAAAATGCAGTGACACCATACACATTGACACAAAAGTGCAGTGGCAAAAACCTGACACTGCAAAGCAGTGAACAATAATTTAACTACACCTGATACAGGGTGCACTTACTAGTACTTTTTGTTGATTCTGGTCCAAGAAGGACTACAGGCTGGCCTTGAGCAGGGACTTTTTGTAAAATATCTTAAGTATTTATGCAGTGCCATAGGGCGCTGCCCTTAAGCACACAGGCCCGTGGTACTAACTGTTACTGCAATAAAGTGAATCGTTTAAAATTCCATCCACCTCCCACCAGGAACGTAATCAGTTTATTTTTATAATCATCTTTCGTCTCTGTCATGGTTAATGTCTTTGTTGATCCACAGCTTAATTCCGCTATTGTACTGCCATCTTACACGTACGGCTTCTGTTCGTGATGCGCTCTTCGTCGTGCTAGCCATATGAATGACTCTCTTCATCGTTGTATTGTTTATGTAAAATAAATATTTTTGTTTCTGGTCAGTATGATGGCAGTTAACGAACCCGCATGCAAACGATCTGCGTTTGCAACTATCTTCTTATCTCTGTATTGTTCTCTACCAGCTTCCCCTTATTATTTAGTGGCAAGAACTGTTTTTTTTTCCTTTTTTTAAATAAAAACTAGGTGTTGCAATACATTATTCACGAGACACTGATCGTGAAATTGTAAGTTTTATTTGCGAAGTCGCTTGTTATACAGTGGGTATGTCTTTGCATTTAGGATTAAACCATACTGAAGAGTATCATTGACATCCCCCCCAACCCCCTGTAAAGGTGGCATGATGCACAATAATCCCATCTCACGCATTAATGAGCAAAACAAAATAATAGTTCTCTTGAGATAGTTCACTTCTTTACCGGCATGCTGGTGTTTTCGGCTGGCGTGCAATATATATGGTCAACGTGTTTCCACACGCTTCTGCCGTCCTGACAAACAATATTTTCACATCAGTTAATTTGCGCATTTAAATCACACCTGTCTGCTGTTTTAAATATAGCTTTACTGTTCCATCGTAGACATTATAGATGCATAGTGTTGTTTTGGTCCCATTTGCTAAATCTCTCTTGATTACTGATGTAAGTTATTTGCAATGCACTTACGTCTTGTTGTCGGATGGAGTATTTATGGTGCTTCACTGCCATAAGTGAAATGAGTCATTCACACGTAATTTTATTAACCATCATTGATTGTGTAGATGTATATACTTGTCAGGTTTGTTAAGTTCGTAAGTGTTTTTCTGCGTGTATTTAACCAGAATTCTTAACGTTTTTGAAACGAGTAACGAATGTAATATTCTGTTCATAATTCTCGGTGAGATTTTTAGCTCATTATAAAATGAGAAAAATTCCCGTCCAAAGACATGAAACTAAACACTAACATTGTGCTGATCAATAAGAATATATGAACAGTTATCATAATAATAATATTTGTTATTATTATTATTATTATTATTATTATTATTATTATTATTATTATTATTATTATTATTGTTATTAACAATAATAATACCAATAACTATAACTATAATATCAAGAGCAACAATAATAATGATAATAATAATAATAATATTTTATTAATAATGGTAATAAGGGCATATAGTATTTAAACGGATGTAGTTATTCTAGACGGACTCGTCCTAGAAAAAAACCTTTGCCTAATTTGCCTAAATCTGTTTGAAATTGCACGATATTAACCAGCTAAAAAGTAATAAACCATAATTACTTTTGTATATTACAAAAAGATGCCCTCAGTTAAACAGAGGTAAATATCTATTATAAGTTTAATTTAAAATTATAACTATTTTCTTCGTTTTCTTTATGGTAAGTATTTGGCTTCCGTCTTAGAAGGTAAAAGTACTTTGTGCAGTATTTGTGTAGAATCACATGCATTACCTTCACCTGCGCTACCTTTATTGCATTAAGAAATACTCTTAGATAAACTTTAGACAGGCAACTTTTAATCTGCGTATTTTTATTAACTAAAACTTTTGTTAGGGTAAAATGAAGTACTTGGAATTGTACTATGAGCTTGTACATAACCAGCGGCCAGGCGTTCTGCCACTAGAGGGCACATGAGCCCCTCGCCACGAACACCTACAGTATTGGGTAACGCGAACATTTTTAAGCTTTTCGTAAAAGCTTTTCGGATATTTGTTAAAACCCCGCGACCCTCACCAGAATAGGCGATTATAAGATGGATTGATGGGTGGATATTTGTTAAAATATATAAAGCAACATAGTTCTTTAAAGAGACGAATAACAAGCATATAGTTATTTAATGCTAATCAGTGCTGGAAATTTAATTCACGCAACTCCACGCCGCTAGCTTTTAAGTTGTCTACCACTAAAATCACAAATATTATTATAAAAAGCTTAATCACAGCTGCTTAGGGTAATAGATAATGATACTTCCAATAAGGTAACGAATGCCGACAAACTGCTACTTCGACATAATGAGTGAAGCATGTCAGTATGAATAAATGATATTCATACCGTAAATGCAACGATATCCATATTTTTGTCGATCCGTTATCAAAGTCATATTTATTCTATTTTATCAAACTTCTTAATGTTTGCTTTATAACATTGTAGCAATTTGAGTGCCAATTTACGAATAGATCAAAGATACATCATTGTTATTTTCCTGAATTACTCAAGCTAATCATTCTTGTTAAAATTTAACATCCTTTAGTTATTGTATATAAATCTATGATAAATTGTGTAAATGATGCTTCACGTGATAAATGAAACAATTATTCAACTCTGTATAGGAAAAAAGGCATTTGTTCACCGAGCAGTTCACGCATAGACACGTCGAAGACAGTATAACAATTTACAGGATTTGTTTTATTCTTTTTTTTGGAAAGGACAAAGTTTTATATCATGTAAGAATTCATTCAAGTACCACATACAAATCTTTAATCCTGCAACAGGCGTTAAATAACCTAAGAGCACGTGAAATAGGCATATGAAAACAATTTCCTGTGAGACGAATGGCCGAATGTTTGTCTCATAATATGAACAATACACTGGATTTGCGTCGGTGAAACGTGAGCGCCAAAAACACCGCTGCGGTGGGGGTAAGATTTATAAGAAGCCAAGACAAGTTGTGGACGACCCTGGGGAGGGGGGATAATAGAGATTATTTTCTCATTTTCATTGGAATGCTTAAAGCTCAATTAATAGGCTAAACGTCCAGACAGGGACCCTATACCACAAAGGTATAGCCTACTGATCGAGAGAAGTATAAGCGTCCATTGGAGTCTGCAGGAGAGAGAGAGAGAGAGTTTGTGAGAGCTTCGTAGGCGCCCCGAAAGTGCTCTGTAGCTATGAGAAATGGATGAACATATGATACGCATAAATCTGCGGGGCTTAGGCGCCGCTTATCACATCTGATGCATTCGCTGGGTATAACATAACAGCCAGGTACATGACCACACAGCCTGAGACGAGCGTGCCGAAACATCTCATTTTCCAACCATACCTACATAAATAATCTATATTGTAACCTGACGTCTCCGGTGTGTGTCGTGTTGAGTTAAAATCCATAATTATTTGCTTTCATGAGTTATTGGTAGGAGGACCTTTTTATTCGTTAGACATTTTATATACTCTTAATTCATTTAAGTGACATTGTTTATATAAGGCAGCTTTTGTGAATCACACGAACAAGAACAAAAAACGCACAGAGAGTAAAACAAACAAAAAAAAAAACGTACCCGTTGTATTGCACGGTTCAGTTATTTGTGGGGCAGAACACAACAGATGCGACCGGAAGGCGGATGGAGACAAGCTATGAGGATGGGAGCCTGAGCCTCTACCAGAGGGAGAAAGGCAACTTCTGCCAGGTGGTCATTTGTCGGATATATCCTCTGTAATCGAACCTAACAACAGGGCCCAGCGCGACGACTCACTATTGTGTAACACAGGCCACGCAAATATAAAAATTCTATAAGCGTTTTCCTCTTATATGCTCTTAGACTGAAAACGTCCGTAAACGAAAAAGATGACAAGTGAAACTATTCGAAGGATTACATTTTTTTAAAGAAGTTTCATATTTTTATTTGATCAGTCATACGACTGGCTTCAAACATCACCAATGTAATAATTGCTGTATGTGTCTCAGAAAATATTTGGTAGGCCTACCGAAATGATTAATAAAAGACTACAAAAAACAATTTAATACTCCTAATGAGTGCGAGCTGTTTGGCCAGCACGCGCCAGGACCCTGATCTCTTTATAATTACCTGTAAACTTTCATATAAGGACGGAGTAGCAACAAGGTGATCCCTGCATCATACATAACATAACAATTATATGCAATATACAAACACATAGGAACGTACGTGGAAATACATAGTTCTTTACTCATTGCACTACAGACTAACGTATTATCCACATTTAATCAGACAATTATGCATGATAGATATAAAGGCCATTACAATTGATTAATTTGGAACGCTGAATTAACCGACTGCAATTATGGTAATTGCTTCAATCATTAGTTAATAATCCAATTTTTTGATGGGGTAGGGTTGTTAACTTTTTCCATTCACGGTGGCATTATTGTGACAGTAGCAAAACATCGATGGTAAACACAAATAGAGCAGAGTTCTGATCGGTGCGCCGCTGTTTAGGCTCCTCTCGCAGGTATAGATCTCGACGAAGATTTCGCGCAGGTGAAAACAACTGCAGTCGGAACCACCAAACCCAATAGAGACGTCTTTGTGCCGGCTCCGTTGCAATGATAGCTGTGGAGGCTCAGCGGATGTGACAGGTAAATTAAAACAAACAAGCTGTTGCCGGACACATGGGGAAAACGGTTCCGACTGTGGCGATTTGATTAGACAGGCGTACGCGATCCGAGATCAACACCTGGGCTCACGGAGGAGGGCGGCCGGCTCTGCGCGCACCCAGGACGGCAGTCCCGCCGGCAGACTGGACTGGGGTCCAGCGCTCACTTAGTTGTACAGTGGATCACGGCGGGACGGCGCCCGTGCAGTATAGGCGTGCAGAGCTGTGCACTGGGAAAGAAATGGGAATATCCCAGTGTTTACACTTGACCTTTGGGAAGCGCAGTGCCCGCTTATGCACCGTTAGAGTAACACCTGGGGGGGGGGGTTGCCTCCGGTGATGGGACTCTGATTAGCCGGTAGTTAAGAGCCATTGAAGAGCAGCTGAGGACAGCAGCGAATGCATAGTAATATCAGCTGTCAAACTTGACCGCCGCGGTCACTCAATTTAGACACACGCCCCCCCCCCCCCTCCCCCCCAATTGTGCGATCTAGCCTGGTGTAACTCTGGACCCGAAAGGTCCTGTCAGAGTTTCCTTGTGACTTGTATTTACTGTAAAAGTGACTTGGGTAGTGACACATTATTTCGCTTTGACAGCTCCCGAGCCCGTTTCCTTCTGTGCCCCGTTACCTTTCGCCGTTAGCCTTTATTGAACCATACTGTGGCATTTCCAAGTGAGAGAGAGAGGAAAAGCGCAGAGTCCTTTGAACTGGGAGCATATGGCAGGTTCCAGGAAGGATACACTATAATTTCTGTATAGGAACCTTTATTACCAGTTAAATTAGTCCGAAGTGTCTTGAATGCTAAGGTAACTATTCTCGGCAGATGATTTTTTTGGATCGTTATTAAACCGAGTTTTCCTCCCCGTGTCCCTGTATCTTGTAATTTTTTTCTCTCCCGTTGTTTGCGTCTGAAGCCGCCTGATGACCAGCCCCGGGATTTCACCTCGTCCTTGAGAGCAACAGAAATCAACAGAAAAAAAATACCAACAGCAGACCTTTCCCCCCCTTCTGGTAGTTCCGATTAGGCTGTTTTCCAAATAAAACGAGAAGAGGCCGTCGGCGCTGGTAAGTGTCTCAAAACATCTGCAACTTTAAACGCCGGTTTTTGTCATTGTGTTTTTAGAGGATCGCGGAGGGAAGGCGAGAGTCGGGCTGCGGCGGAGCGTCTCGCTGCCGAGGCGGAGTGCCTCGGCTCGGCTGCTGTCCTTACCTACCGAGCGCCGAGTCCCAGTCAGCCCGTCGCTGCCGCCAGCAAATCCTGCCCTAAGATTTTCCGGCCGTAATTCCCGTGTGGGATTACGAGGCAGCCCGCCAATCATCGGGAACCGTCGCGCTTTCCCCCGCTGTCCGTGCATCGCCGTCAAGCGTCAGAAGTGAGGAAGCCGGAGGAGCTTTCGGCTTTTCTCCGAGCGGACCGGGGCGATAGTTAGGCTGGTGGTACCAATGCACACTGTCCAGCACATAACCTACGCCGCATATTTTTTTTAAAGTATGATAAATAACCCTGTCGATATTACAAATGATCGTGTCTATAGTATATCATATGATTTTAACAAATGTCATGCACTTTTTTGATCTTTACGGACATAAAGTTGAATGCCACATATAGGGCACTCTTTAATAAATGTGTGGTATACTTTATATATAGTGTAGTTGCATTGCCGGAGAGAACTAAAATGTAGTTGTTAGTGGGTTCACATTCTGCAGTTTTATTGAACTATTATTAATTACGAAGCTATGTCTGTTCTTGTGCATCTCATAATTAGTTCACGCTACAGTTATTTGAGTTAATTTATTAAGCCCTTTTCGTTTGCATGCATGCTGGAATACTAGCGACTCAGGTGCTTTGAAAGTTTTACTTGGGAACAGATAGAATATGCAGCTGGTGTAGCGGATGAAAGGAGCGCTGATCATTTTATCTCTTTTCTATGCACACTGCACGCTGTTGTTATCAACATAATGATTACGTGTGTACACTGACTTTTTGCATTGAACAAGCAAAAGTAGTGAGGGGTTTTGAAGGCAGCGGTCATCGCTGTCATGAAAACAGGGTTTTTGTGTTTATCCTGGCATCCACTTGTAAAATATCACTAACAGATCTTCAGAGGTTACATTTTTATCGGTTGGTGTGAGCCACATTTATACATTTCTTGAATAATATAGGCCTACTTTCCGTGTATTGTGAAAATCTATCCAGTCAGCCATAAAGTTCAGGGGAAAAAAACATTTTTAGTTGTTAATGCGTCCTGTGATAATGGTCATAATTGCTTAATTTAGCATAGAGCAGCTGCATCTCGATTTAGAGGTTATTCCCCATATTGAGCGCATTTGTGAAAACAACCCAGTTTTTTCGCAGTGTCAGACAGCAGGGTTTAAGTAGCTACACCGGGCAATCTGTTCCCACAATAAGACAGGGCACAATATCGTAGCAACTGTAATTGTTGCTATGTCAACGGTGTATTTTTGCGGGCTGACGTTTTGCGTGGCCATTATTTGCCTAAGCAGACGGCTGAAGAGCACACCGGGCCCGTGAAGCCCTCCTGCAGGTCCGGGCCTTGGAGCCGCCTCTCCGATCACGCGTCATACGCCTAGGATCGCGTGCCGGTGCCTGCTCCTCGGTCTTGATGTTTAGGACGTCTCTGTCCGGTCCGCGGTTTCCTTTCGTTTCAGAGGCAGTGCCGTGTGCTTCTCCTGCATTCAGGGGACAATAAGTTGCATGAGATCTATCTGATTCCTCTGTTGTGGGGTGTTCCAGTTCACAAACAATCAGATAAGGACATGTATGGTCCTTTCTGAACCAGGAGCTTTAGGAGTTTCTCTGGGATTTTTGTTTTTAACTGCACTCAGTGCATGTAATGTTGCTTCTGAGAAACACATCAAGCAGTTCTCCTGCATGTCTTGTGCTGTCAGTTGCTCCACCGGTTTGTTCTGCCAAGTGGAACGCCGTGATCATGGTCTTTTATCTCGTTGCAGAATCAGGGATTGGTTTCCGACTCTGTAGAGACAGGCAGGGAAACACAAACACTCTCGCAAGTAAACACAAATGCACGCTAACTGTGTTTTCAGTAGTTTTCTCCCAATTGCCATTACCTGTCACTCCAACAAATCCTAGGGCTAATTCACCCCCTTATTACGATGTAGTTATTAAGTCGTTCTGGGTGGAATGTTCTCGATCCCAAACTGTTAGGGAATACCGGGGAATAGTGGCGTGGAAAAAAAAGGCCAGGAGGAAGTTGCGGAGTTCAAGTGCCGTTTGAGAGCTATGATGTCTGTCGCTGCTGCTGCTTTTGCCCTGGGGGCTATTAAACCGGTTGTTGATCTCAGGGCAGGGACCCATAAACAGAATTCCCTAACGTGCGGCGGCTTGCGGGACCGTACTTTTGCTTTCAGCGGTCACCGTGCCGCGAGCCATTCAAGAGGCTTAGCGCTAAACCCACCCTTCCCTCGCGAGCGAGCGGGAAACGCTTCGTGAACTTGGACCACGCTAAATGATATTTGCCAAGACGTCGGAATTGTAAGGATAATGGGCTTAAGAGGCCTGTCCTAACATCTTAATGGAGCAAAACCAGGCAGGGAGACAAACCTAAACAGGCAGGAACAAAAATATCTTCTTATGGGCCCAGGTCTGGAATTTGTAAACACATGCAAAGGGGGAAAAAAACAAAAATAATTAATGAAACCCCCATGCAATTTTATTGAACCTATGGGGGGAAACACACCCCAATTTGGCTTCAACCTAATATGATTCTACATGGAAGCAAGAAACTGGGGCAAAGGAATCATAATGGCGAAATAAAAGCTGTTAGAAACTTTCCGTTGTAGGTGTTTCTGCATTGATGCTACGAGGCAGGCATAGCTGTCTTCTAGCAGAGCTATATGCTAAGCAGTTGACCCGGGCTTTTCTCCTGGCCAGAATAGGCCAGTTTATACACATATACATTTATTTTATTTAGCAGAGACTTTAGTCTAAAGGGACATACAAAGTGTTGCAAAATGCACATTACAAACATATGGCTGTCAAGGACTTGACTAGGCATAAGTGCAACTAGGCTGAGCTTCCGATGAACGCCCAGGTACAAGTGTATGCTGTACTGGATCAAGTGCTGTGCAGCACCGTGCAAATAAAGCAAGAACCTAATAAGACAATTCGTTGATGAGAATGCAAGTTTAAGAACATTCAGAGAACACAGAGAGCCATCAGGCTAGTAGAGGAATTTCTGCTTGCGTTTATGTTCTTGCTTAATTCCTCCTTGGGGATGAATGTAGTTTTTATAAACAGCACCTCAAGTTTAGCCTGTGTGAGCTTCAGTAGCTGTGTGGATTAGCACATCTGAGCCTTGAGGTGAACTTGTGTTCAGTTCTGTATCTCTGCGTAGCCGTGGCGTGTGGGCGCGTGATCTCCACGGACCTTGCTGTCTCCAGTCATGAGCCTTAATTCTCGCTCTCACCCGAGAGGCCGCACTTGAAGTGGATGATCAGAGCCACGCTAGCGATTCTTAACGGTGGGAATGTGAGATGAGCTCAGGCTATGGGCAGAGCTTGAAGCTAATGCAGTTTGGCGTTATGGGCGGCTAGTGCGGTGACTTGAAGGAGAATGTGGCCCCGGCGACTCCAGGTTCGAGCACCGTGCTGCGCTGCCCCTGTGAATGGCACTTGGCGTGAATTTCTTAAACAGCCATCAGCGCGAGTGCATTAAAAAGTGGAATTATGGGCCGTGCGAGTCGTTTTGTGTGAAACTGCCTGCTAAGTGACTTGTGCTACAAGCATCCAGCTACCTTACAGAGAACTCCGCACTGTATACACAGGCCTTATTTATAAATGCGACCTCTCTATTGCGGCCGCCGTAGATCTTATACGCAGAGTGTTTATAAACGTAAGTATGTCCTATAAAAACAGTGTTTATAAACTGAAACCCACTTAGCCTGCTTATGCTGTATATACACTCCCAGTATTCATACATTTTACATTGTCTCTCGTTTATATTCCGGAATGTTCCATACGAACAGCATTTACAAACGAAGACTTGTCCTGTGTCCCACACTCGTGTTAATAAATAATGTGGGCAGACTTAGTTATTACACTGTATTTGATGCAGCGTTACTTTCCAAAACAAAAAAATAAAATAAAAAAACGACGGCTGTAGTAATCACTTTGCTGCTGAACATTTTCACCTTCATAGAGCTTCTGTTGTAGGCCGACTGGTAGACTAATCAGGGTGCATGTGTGCGTGCATGCAACAGTCACACACAGTACTGATTAATATTAAATCTTGAATCTATTTATTAAGCAGCTGTCTTTCTCTGGGCCGTCTCGCATCTGTGTCACTCGTTCGCGCGGCTGTTTTTTGCGTGCCTGTTGGATTTAGCTGCCCAGCTCGCCGATCCTGCATGGTGAAGTGTGGGGAGGTGAAGGTGCTTGTCTGAAAAACGTCATGTTCGCGGTATTATGTATGTTATTCAGCGCTAAGCTGATGCATTTTTCCTACGTGACTGCCATAGCTTATAGCCCGCGTCTGTTACGTGGTAGCTGGGCAATGGGGGACCTGACGGTAGCAACCGGTCTGTATATCAGCACAGTTAATCTGTTGAAAGTTGAATGCGAATCAACTGGATCTATTTTTTGAGCAGTAGACTACCTGCTGTCTGCTTCATTAGGTGGTTCTGGGCCTTTAAACTGTGTGACAGGTGTCTAAATGGCCACTCCCACTGTCACATGTTTGGCAAAACCACCACAGTCCACGTTCACCACGATTCAAGCCCGCGGTGCTGAGGTCTGTTACAATGTTGAAACTTCTACCTGTGAAGGCCGTGTTGTGCCTTCGTGCGATAGGCCAGCGTGGGGGGTGGGGGTAGGTCCTCCTTCGCTCCTCTTGCCACAGAAAGAGAGTGATGCTCCTGTCAGAGTTTGAGTGGCTTGTCAGAATTGTTAAATGGTTCTTACAAACGAAATGGGGAATGACACAACTGAGTGGGGGTCTGAGGTCATAATTAACCAATGAATGCTGGCAAACCAAATAAAAAGTGAGGTGGATTCTGGGTAATATATGAAAATGTACAATATGAAAA